AGTACAAAAGGGAGAGGAGAAAGTAGAAAAAAATGTTCAAGGAAATAATGGTTGAACACTTCCTGAATTTGATGGAAAACAATCTATAAGTTAAAACCTAAGCAAGCCCAGGTAGGATAAATGCAGAGAGATCTATACCCCAACATGTAGTAAAAACGTTGAAACATGAAGACTGAAAAAATCTTGAAAGCAACAAAAATGATTCATCATGTCCAAGGGCACCCAAATAAAATGAATGGGCTCTAGAGTGACCTGTTTAAGCAAAATTTCCTGGTGAATTCTGGGTATTAACAATTGTACCTTGGATCATAAAAAGTAGAGTTAGTGTGCTATGCAGATTATGTCAGAAGTAAGATTTGTTTTACTTCAACAGAAGACTTACCCATGACTGAGTTGAGTACATGTTGTCTGCTGAGTAACACCACTAAGTTTGGTTCTAGGTATAGGTATTCTAAGCTGAAAGAACTATTGAAAATTAGTTACAACAAACACCTGTTCTAAACCTAACAACCAGAGCTACTTCGGAAGACCATTAGCAGAATAGTAAAGAAACACATTTTTTACTGTGAACAGAGGGGAAAAAGTTAGATTCTCATCACTGGAATAAAAGGGAAAGACTGGTTAATGCTTCTATCTCTGCAGGCTTTCTTATCCCATTCTTGTCTTCTCCAAGTTCTGGAGTTTAAATCTGTTGTTAAGGGCTAGGAAAGAGGGAGACCAAGAAGCAGTGATGCTCAGCAGTGGCTGGTCTTTTTCCACATGAAACTATCTGTCACCTTATTGTGCTCTAGGTTTGCTGAGTAAAGTTCTTTCAGAAATAGAAGAAATGTACTAATGAAATGTGTTGCAATATTGCCAGCTCCCAACCACTAGCTTAAATGTGAAGTGGCTTCTAGAAACTGCATTGAGGGTTAATATTAAGATGCCCTGGTATCTATTTCTCTTCCCAGCTGAAAGAGAAGATAATGTTAATGCACACTCGCTTAAATTCACTGATGGGGATTCTGAAGGAAGTGACTCCTGACCAGTCCAAGCCAGCAAACTGATCCAGAGTCAAAGCTTGAATATCCATGTCAGGCCTTATTGCTGTCTTCAACAACAGGTGCTGCTTGTTCACTTCTCAAGAAAGATCAACTTAAGGAATGGATGGGAAATATATTTTATTATGTTCACCTTTAAGCTGGTTTTCCATGACTTGTGAAGCTATTTCTAGAGGATGAGAAACTAAGGAGACTTCTGTCTAGGTTTCATAGCTATTTGTCTTAAGAACTTATTTTAGCTTCTTGTCAGCTTCATAATACTTATTTCTGAAAACATCTTTGACTACAAATATAGTGATTAAGAGGCAATGTCCCATGAATGCTCTGATCTAAAGATGCATAGTTGGCCTGGAAATAGAGTTGTATTTATGTTGACTACTCTTCCTACACAGAGCAATTGTTAAATAAATACTGAGAAAATCGTTTTTTTTTCTTATGTAAAATACAGGTACATACATATTCTGTTGGTAATGTTAACTGGATAATATATACTTATCTTTCTCTTTTCAGTTATAAATTGAGCTTAACAGGGTAATAATGAAAGGAATGATAAAAACATCAAACATTCACTGAAATGTTTTTTCTCATATTTTGCTTTATATAGCATTGTGGCTCAATAGCTTATATTATTCATTTAATAAATATTTATAAAGTATTATGCTAACCACTGGGAATAAAAAATAGCAAAACCAGCCACTCTCTATCCTGCATTTATAAGCTAGTCAGAGATGGATATTCAGATAACCACATGAAGACATGTAAAATCACAGCTGTAGGAAGGGCTTTGAAGAAAAGGGACATACAGATAAAAACACACATAGCAGATAACTGACCTGGTCTGTGGGGTCAGGGAAGGCCTCTCTGAGGAAGTGATGATGTTTCAGCAGTGGTCTGAAAGATGCATAGGAATTAACAAGGTAATGGAGGGACCAGCCTGTACAAAGGCCCTGTGAGGCCCTTACAAGAAGGCCTATAGAGTTGCAAGTGTCCAGAAACCAGAGGGTACAAGCCTCACTGGCCTCCTGAAGGATGTTTTTTTTTTATCCCCCAAATAATGGGACGCCCTTAAAGAATTTTAAAGGCCTTTGTCAGGATCCGTTTTTTTAGAACCTTATCACGGTTGTCCTGTGGAGAATGGGTAGGAGGGCATGCCAAGCATACCACTAAGGAGTGGCTGGCACTAGCATAATCATGAGATGATATAGTTAAGGTGGTTCAGATGTAGCTAATTTTTTAAAATAGCAGATTCTTTCCATTTTAGACTGCATAAAGGATTATTTTCCTTTAAAAATATTTTTAACTGGAGAAAATTCTGACTTGCTTTATGCTTGTGAGTTGCAAAACTTGGTTTAAGGGTGAAGCCTCTAGCAACAACCAGTACTAGAAAAGCTCTTGTTTTCTACTCCTAAAGAATAAAAGCTAATAATACTATATTGAATACTACGTTGAATATATTGGGGTTTTTATTGTGTGTAGGTATGTCTGCCTCAACATATTTCATTTATCTAAATTAAAAAGCTGTTTTCTGTAGCTATTTTCCTTAACTTCTGGATTTGCTGTTCTGGTAGACTTTCAATAGAAAATTAAATCCTTGAACTTGGCATCAAATTAAGCTGGCTGGTTTAAATAGATTTTTCCCCCCAAGTACATTTTACATGTTTACTCTAGAAAAAAATACAGATATAGATGTGTGACAAAATAACAAGTAAAAGTACACTCCCCCTTACATTTCTGAGAGGCACAATATAGCATGCTGGGAAGTGAGCAGCCTTTGGGGCCAGATGATTTGGATTCAGATTGTGACTTAGGTACTTATTAGTCATGAACTTGAACAGTTTACTTAATGTCTACTTGTAAATATGGATTAAAAACCAACTAGGGCTATAGTGAGGATTAAATGAATTAATACACCTAATGCTTAGCACAGAGTAAGTCCTCAATAAATGTTGTTATAACCTTCATGCATGTGGACATACATAGACATAAAACAAAGGCAATTATGTTTTTCACATTATTCTGCAACCTGCTTCTCGCACAATGTATGTCACGGACAGCTTTGTATACCAGGCCACACAAATTATTTAACATCTACGTATGAGTCAATCATGTATCAGAATTTAACCATTCTTGTATTGGATCCTTGTACGTATCTTAACATATTTGTCCTGGTATTTCTAGGGGGGTGATCCCAAAAGTGGGACACACTCAAAGGGCATGTACATTTACTGTTTTGATATTATGCCTTCTGTAAATGTTATACTAATTGATACTCTCACAGATGGTTGACTTTTTCAACAAGCTTTAGTGGTATAAGAGCTCCTCTGGAAGTCTAACATCAATAGTAAGGACTTTGATATTAACAGATTCCAAGGCTACTCTACTGTAGTTTGATACCATTTAGCACTGTGTATATGTTGAATAAAAGTGTTCTCAAAATTCCATGTACTTATAAGAACAAAAAAATTACATATTGAAAGTCCCTGAGTTGTACACTTTTGAGCTCCTTAATTAATGACAGAGAACATCTCAA